AGATGTCGATCTGAGTGGTCTTCAATAAGAAGCAGCATGAGGTTATGGATTGGTGTGATTGTGGTGGTGGTGCAGAATGGGGGACGTCAGAGGGTTTAAATAGGTAATCTCCTAGTTTGGTTACAGGTATAATATATAGTGTAGAACCTTCGGGCGGACTACTTAAATTAGGTGACCAAAAGTTGCACGTGTGGCTATATGTACTCTCGCAAATCCAAAAATGTACCACTAAAAATACCTAATAAAAATTCACCCTTCCGCGACATTGCGAAGGTATAAAAAAAAAAAAAAAAAATATATATATATATATTAACTACTTACCAATGCTGATTATCCAGACTTAAAACTTTATTTTTTTATTTAAAATACATGCTGTTAGCATTACCTAATTATTGTAATAGCCAACTTGTCATCTATCTCCACTTAATTTAATTTTAATAGTATCACCTTGACTTAACACTGGATTATTCCTGTTGTCAAGTCAGAAATTAATATAATAAATAATGCAGTTAAAGGTTGTATTGTGCCATTTCCTATTTGAGTTTTATTAATATATAATATATTATTATTTTTATTTGTAGCAAAATAAGTTGTTGAAAATTTAGCTATAGAACTAATATTAAAACTTTTAATCAGAATTTTTCTTTCTATAGCTTCATTAATTTCTTTTTGTCATGCAGCTATAATATACTCATGTTCTAATGAAGGTGAACAGCTGCCAAATATTTATAACTATCTCTAGAGATTAATCCTTTATCACATGCATAAATATTAGCATCAGGATAAGTAAAAGATGCTGATTTATTATTAGACCTAGTAAACTCAACTTTGACTAATTTGTTAGAAATATTTAATTCTAAACAATCTAAAGTCATATCAGTAAAATTATATTTTTTAAATAAAGTTCTAGAATAAGAATAAAGATCTGCAGCAAATTTTTTTAAATGAGAATTTTGTTGTCCTTCAGATTTGAGATATAAAAAATCTTTTTTATGATATTCATTTTTTGACATGATTTAAGGCATTGCAAATTTAACCAAAAAGTATTAATCCTAAAAAATTATTATTCTTATTTTGTATTAATTTCTATTAAAAATTAAATAGCTTATTATATGAATAATAATACTGCCAATATTATGTATATAGTTATTATTAAAAATTTTTACCTGTATGAATTGTTGTGCAGCATTAGAAGAGGATTTTGTATTAATAACTTTGTTCTTATTTCTACTTTTATCTTCTCAAGTTACTTTAAATTTTACTTTTCCATCAATTTAATAATTTGTTTGACATATAACATCTTGTTTATGGATCAAAACATGAACTTTATATTTATTTGAAATTTGATATTAGCTTCTTTGTGTTCATTGTATATTTATTGTTGAATAACATCCTAGTTTTAAAATATTATACTAGTAACTATAATTGTAGTTACTAATCTAATGTATTGTATCAATTTTGGGATATTTGTCTTTAAGTTCTGATATATTCATATTGTTTTTAGAACTGTGATTTTATGGTAAAATAACTTGGCATCAATTTATAAGTAATGCATAAAAAAACTGATTATTTTAACTAACGTTAGTCATAAAACTAGTAACAGATCAGTTTTGGATCATTTAGGGTTATTTTTAGCTGATCTTTTAGTATATTGATTATAAAAACTAATAAGTAACAGATCAATTGTGAATTTTCTTGACAGAGTCACTGTAGGTTGTTCTAGCTAGAAGCTTAGTTGATAAATTAGCTGAGATATTAAATATACAAGTATTGTATATATGATTTGAGTTTAGTAAACATCCTGTACATAAAGTGCAGGTATAGTTTGGTGGTGGATATAAAGTATTGTGTGAGTAATCGAATGAAATATTCCAATGAGTAATTGATATAGTGTTGCTTGCTTTGTTATATTTTCTTGCTTTCTTAAGAATAATATATTGAGAGTGTTCACTATCAGAGTATGTGATAAGCCAAGGTTTGGATTTAGTTTTGTAATGACCAGTACTGAGAGATAATGAGTTGATATTAGATAAGTTGAGTTGAGAATTAATTTCTCTAATTTGTTAATTAGTAATTATTTTATTTTCTAATGTTGTAAACTATAAAGGTTTATGGCCTTTAGATATATGTTATAGATGTAAAGAAATATGTGTCTAGTCTAGTAGAACAGTGTTGTTACTGGATGTAAGTTGTTCAAGGTATATAATATATTTAGTGCATAATTGCTTTTTGAATTGAGAGTATAGTTTATGTGTACTGAGGATTTGTTCTATAGTAGTATATGAGTACTGAAGTGTATAGGGCTGATAATATGTTGGGTGTAAATATAAAGTTAGTTGAAGTTGTCACAGAAGCTGTATGATCTTATAGGTGGTAATATTTTTGTTTGGTCCATTAATTGTTGATTGTGGATGTTAAAAAATGTTAGTGGTAGACCAGGACCCCAAAATATATATAGATAGGTCAGGTTAATTATAGGATTACTAAAAAAGGAAAGATCTGCAAAAAAAACTAAAAATAAGCAAAAAAATTACTATAAATAAAAAAGATCTGCATAAAAAACCTCAAAAATAAGCAAACTCATATCTGACCTATCTATGTATATTTTAAGATTCTGGTAAACCGTAAGTTATTTTGAAGTTGTTAAAGTCTAATATGAGTACTACTACCTATAAGTTTAGGGTCGTTGATTCTGAGTAAAAAGTTAGAGATATGATGCTGGAGCTGGATGTTCCAGATATTTTTGATACCATAAATATTGTGATTAAGCATGATGCTGTTCGGGGTGGTTGTGGCTAATTTAGCTTTGTTGTAAGATATTGTGAAAAGATTGAGTTATATGTTGATTGAGGAAGTATAATATTGTAGATACAATATTCAAAAATAGAGATAATAACATTATTTATTATATAGGCAGCCTGTTTATCTGTTATATTTTTAGTTTTAAGAATTTCATTAAGCCTAATATCTCTTGTTTAATAAGTTTAATTTGTTTTGTATATTGTAAAATAGCTGTAAACCAGCCCAAGAACTTGAAAGGAGTATGTTGTGGTTGTATTTGAATTTCAAAGTTCATAAAGTTGATATTGGAAGTTAGGTTAGTATTAGAAACAAGGACTGACTTATGTGGATTGATTTTGATATTGGCCATTGCGTAGAATAAAGATGCTATATAAGTAATTTGTTGTAGCTGTTCTGCTGACTTGGCAATCCATAAAGTGTCGTCCATGTATACTAGAACAGAGGTGGAGGCAGTTAGAGATTGGAATCATATAGGGTTGATTTGAGTAAGCCATTCAACTAAAGATGAGTATTCTGTATGGTGTTTGTATATGTAACTAATAAGAGGATCATAGTATATGCGCTATAGGAGTGGTGTTATGGTCTCTTCTTGGTCGATACCATCTTGTACTGTGTAAGGTAGTTTTAAATCTAAGTTTGTGATTACTTAATTAGTTTGATTTTGTAGAAGGTTAGTAATGATGTTTGTAAGCTGTATAGGTATATTAAGATGTTGTAAGGCTTTAGTTAGAAGTTGTAAGTTAACAAAGTCATAACTTTACTTATGTATTGAGATAATAGCCAGATCTGTTTTTTGCAACATTTTGCATCTTCGATAAAGTTATTTAAAATGTATATGGGATTGTAAATAGAGTTTCCAGGGAGTGCGACATAATTGTGTGGATTTAGTATAATATGTATATTAAAGATTGATGTTAATCGATTGGTAAAGATCTTAGTATAAAGTTTTTTTGTGTGTTCGATTAAACTAATTGGTCTAGTATTGTTAAGATCACCATCAAATTGTGTTTCCTTAGATATTGGTAAATTCTGCTATTCTTCCATTGTTTTAAGATATGTTGTGATGAGATACATCTGTTAAAGAATGCAGTAAAAGATTGTAGCATATTTGTTTCAATATATTTAATTATTTCATAACTAATGCCTAATGGGCTACAAGCCTTATTATTAGGCAGTTATTGAATTGTGCTTAGAACTTCATCATTAGTTATTTTTGCAAGTGCAAAGTTATACCAACCTATATCAATATTTAGATCAGGTTAATATTCTGTGTTCTATATCTGATTAAAGATTGTTTTATTAAAAGGTTGATGTGCTATACAATTATTGAAGTGGTTGCTAATATGTTGTTTAATCACTTTAGGATCAGTGATGATATCTGTTGTAGTTTTAATATTGTTAATGTATACTGGATCTTTGTGTCGATTTAATATGCTATTAATCATTTTAGTAGGTTGTGTTAGAAGTTGATCACATCACTTGTTGGTTGCGGATTTAATGTAGGTTTGTAGGTGCTGTGTATTTTTGAGGTTTCTTGCATTATAAAGTGTTTTCCAGTATGTTTTAGTATTTGTAGCCCATGTTGAAAGATTATGTAGTTCTCTTGGAGGTGGTTTGATGGAGAATTCATGTTTGTCATTAATTGTATTAATTAGGTGTTGGATGTTATTTAGCAGAGGGATTTGATTAGAGAAGTATTTTTTAACATGATATATTATGTGACCAATAGTTTTGAGAACTTAATGTAATTGTATAGCTTTTGGTGTAAAGAAATGTGAAAAGTTTTTAATTGTATACTTTTTGTTAGGGAAGTATTGAAGTGCAGCATTGATGATGCAAGTATAAATCCTATGCCATGTTGTCTCTAAGCTTTCAGATGTATTTGTTATTGGAACTTTGTGTTGAGTCATGTTGATATTTACTTGTTCTGTAAATTTTTCCTAATTTTCCTTAAACATTGTTTTGTAGTTAAAGACTCTACATTTGCTTTTGCTTTTATGCCTAGTCTTGGATAGAGCAAATGAAAAAATCTGAGTGGAAGAAAGAATATGATAATCACTATCTGTAGAGGATGAAAAGTTGTCTAGTTGGAAATTATATAAGTATAGTATAAGCTTTTTACAGACCCATATATAGTCAATCCTAGTGTAGTATCTGGTGCTATGCCAGGTATTTTGTAAGTTGCTTATATGGTCAGCTAAGTCATACATGTTTGTGTTATGTAGGTAATTAAATAGTTGAAATTTGACAGCTGATGATACTGTAGTATCATTGTTTGCAGTAAAGTCTCTAAGTATGATGGGGTAGAGATTAGCCAATTTAGTCTGTTGGATCCATGTCATAACTTTGTTTTGTGTAAGTTTACAGACAGTTGTGTTTGTAAAAGAGAGGTATACTAAAAGGATTCTAAGTTTGTAATCATGTTTAAAGTAAAGGTCTATTGCGATAGCTCCTCCAAGATGGGTTATAATGTTGTATATATGAGGTTTAATATTGCTATGAACCATGATGCATATGCCCTCTTTGGATTCTGGTGAGTTAGATCAGAAGTAGGTGTAGTGTAAAGAGTTCTAAAACTTAGTGGGTGCTGTATTGAAAATTTTAGTTTCGGTTAAACTAGCAATGTATAAATTGTGTGTTAAGCAGTAATTTTCCCATAGTAGTCTTTTTCCAAATATGTTGAATTCTTGGACATTATGTGTTTCAATATTGAGCTTAAATGAGGTTTTAGGTACTAGAGAGGTAGAAGAAGTAGATATTAGATTGTGATTTTAAGGGAATGTCTTGAGGGTCATGAATTGATAGAGCATAGTGGTTTGGTAATATATCAAGTTCATGTGATAAATACACATGTGCTTCAGTTTTGTCATTATTGATAGTAATAAAACTATAGTTAGCTAGATAGTTGGCATTGTTTTGTCATAGATGTTGTAAGAAAGAATTAATAGTTTGTGGTTCTTTTAGTAATGGAAGATGGTAGTAGTTGAGGAATTTGTTGCAGCAGATTTCTAAATCATAGAGGCTTGATGATGTTGGTAATGATTTAGACAAATAAACTTCTGCAGAGTCGCTTATTGTTTCAAGCTTGGTTCTTACAGCTGCGCAAGATTCCATAGTCTGCCCTGTACATTGGGTCTGCTGTCATATAAATGGTTTTCCACGTAAATGGACTTAACCACCCATCTATCTACATCATTCTCTTTTAAAAATA